CTCAACACAACTCAACACAACTCACACAACTATTGCCGAATAAAAAAAAACTTAAACTTACAATTTACTAAAAAATGTCATAGGACAAAGGGTCGAAAGATAAAATGTCAGAGGACAAAGTGTCGAAAGATAAAATGTCATAGGACAAAGTGTCGAAAGATAAAATGTCAAAGGACAAAATGTCGAAAGATAAAATGGACAACATGTCGAATGGACAAAGTGTCGAACAGAATAAATGGGAAAAGGCCAGGGATGTGTCTACAATAGTATGTCTTTTACTTAGCAGCCAAGTATCCTGCCGATAAATAATTATTTTTACATTTTAAACTAATATAAAAACCTTCGATAAAAAAACCCAAAACTTTTTACTTAATTGATAACTTTTTTTTAACAATGATCTGTATTCAAACCTCGCAAAGAGCTAAAATTTTTATTCAAGTGCGGGAAAAATAAAAACATTTTTTATTCATAAGGAAATTACAACTGTCGTCAGATATAATTAAAGATTGTCAGCGGTGGCTTCAAGATATCCGCATTTACTACGGATGTCGTATCTATCAATAATGCCTTTTAGTCATTGCTTTACAATAGACGACCCATTCCCCATCAAATCGGGCCTCTAACTGATGATCATGGAGGCTTAATCACTTTTAAGGCTGTTATTTATTAAAAGATGCCAAATTTAAGCAATAAAAGGTTTAGAATAGTTTAATTAATTAATTAAACTATTTGAACCTAGTTTTTTTTAAGCTCATGACGATATGTTCGTTTTGACTTTGTTCAAGATTTTATCATTTTGAAACTTTGTCTTTTCGACATTATGTCCATTCATCATTTAGTCAGTTCGACTATTTCTCCATTCGGCAATTTCTCCATACGATATTTACACCGTTCGACACTTATTCTGTTCGACATTTTTTTTCCTTTGACACTATTATTTTTTTTCCATGTCGACAATATAGTTAAATTCCCAGATGAATTCTGTGGACAACAGAAATTGGTATAAAATGAGAATTGGAAAAAAATCTTAGATTTTGTCGACGCGTTTCGTCTTCCGACTTTTTCAAGGCAAAAACGAAATCGAGATGTTTTTGTTGTTAAAAAAAATCCCTTACTATAAAGGTAATTTACATTAACCAGAAAAAAAAAGGCTTACACACAAGCGTCTATCTTTTTAAATTTGGATTTTTAATGTAACTATAACAACAAAAACAATTGTCATTTGATACCATATATATATATATATATATATATATATATATATATATATATATAAATGTGAATTTCAAAATATATATATATATATATATATATATATATATATATATATATATATATATTCTTGAAATTCACATTTTTTCTCCATTGATTATCACTAATATCAATTAAATTTACACGTTTATTTTTTTATATCCCAGAAATAAACTTGATATGGCTAGGATGAAACCGTTTTTTTTGGGTTTTTTTTAGCTTTTAAATATACATTAAAATATCATATGAATTATGCTTATTCAATGATGCTTCTTCATATATATATATATATATATATATATATATATATATATATATATATATATATATATATATATATATATATGTATCTTATCATCTTAGTGTTACATTAGAACATGCACACATCCACTACAAAATTGTACAACGTCAAAAAAAAAAAAAAAAAAAAATGGAAAACCTCTTTTAGACGTTTCATCAGGTTAGGAATCACGGTGTTACTAACAACTTTTATTCAGAAATACATTTATCGAAGCAAATATCACGTACTTCCTTTCTTTGTAAATTTTCATAAAATGTCTTCTAGAATTTACAATTAGAGATGGAATATACACACACACACACACATATATATATATATATATATGTGTGTGTGTGTGTGTGTGTATGTATGTATATATATATATGGATATATATATATATATGGATATAATGATTTACAATATATATATTGTAAATCACTAGCGGGTCTTAAATGCCACTTAAGATTATCGCACACATTTTCATAACTGAATCAATAAGCTGTCAGATCCTCATACGTCGAAACCGACTGGAGAGTCCATTATTATTATTATCATTATATATATATATATATATATATATATATATATATATATATTTTTAAGTTGAGGTATACTACATTTATGGGTGAATGTGCTCAATATCAGAGATAGAGCTAATGTAAATGAAGGTCTAAAAAACCTCCGACGAAAAAAAACAAAAAACTATATAGATCCGAATAATGACATGGAGATGGGTTGGATTCGTACCTTTCCCCAGGGTATTTACGCCCAAGTGAATATAATGGACTCGACCAGGATTGGAACTCGGTTCTCCAATTAACAATTCCATGCCAGTCAGTATCCATCACAAGCAAACTTTCAGCACCTGGTATTCCCAAGCGGTCACTCATCTAGGTACTGACCATGATCTAGGTTGCTTAACTCCGGGATCGTACGAGTACCGGTGGTTCAACCTTATATGGCCGTAAGCCTACGCGCGTAGAATCTTTACTTCATTTTCATGCAGTAATAGTTTGGGTGGTAAGATAACAGTGACTACTTCTTTCTTTTTATGTACCATGTCCTTTCAGGACGTGGGCGATCATGGCTCTTCACCCCCCCTCTATCCCTTGCAGCTCTCAACAACTTCCTTCCCTCGGCTTCCCCTCCCCCAGACCACGTTCTGTCATCCACTTGCTTTTAAGCCCGCCAGTTATATCACGCGTTGTTTTCCCTTGTCTCTCTTTCCCTCTATTCGACCCATGAGTATCAGATTCTCCAGACCCTCCTTCCTCATTATGTGTGCCAGAAACTTCAGCTGCCTCTTCCTGGTGTTAAGTATAAGCCTCCTCCTTGTTTGCAACCTCATCGTTGCTCACATGCTCGATCCATGACATCCTTAGCATCCTTCTGTAGAACTACGTCTTTCGCCTCAAGTCTCTTCTTCATCTTTGAGGAAATCGTCCAACATTCGCTGCCGTAAAGAAGGACTGATGTCACTTATTAGCTCAGAATTCTTTATGGTAAGAGCTCCAAGAGATAGGAAATTGTGGAGAACCATGATCGCCCAAATTAGAAGTTACTAACAGAATAAGGCTACTTTATATATATTCTTTTCCTAGACTAGGCCCTGTACATCTACAAACACATATGTGATTAGATGGCCAGTGAATATTTAAGCATTTCATACAACATCCAAAATGAATCTACCAATTATCTTGCTTTCTATCCCAAGACCAATGTACTGAGGAGGAGGAGGAGGAGGAGAGTTATGCTGGTATCAGTTTGGGATAAACATGATCTTTAACAGAAAACCATTACCCTCTATTAATTGTTCCAAGAAATAGGACTCATGAAAAACCTTTCCAAAACAGAGCCTATGATCTAGAGTTGGAATGAAAGCAGTGACAGCATATACACTTAATCTATCATAAAAATTCAGGATCTGGAATCCTTTTCTTTTTATGTGCCATGTCCTTTTGGGACGTAGGCGATCATGGCTCTCCACCTCCTTCTATCCATTGCAGCTCTCAACAAGTTCCTTCCCTCTACTTCCTCCCCCATACCATATTCTGTCACCCACTTTCTTAAGCCCGCCAAGTATGTCACGCGTTGTTTTCCCTTGTCTCTCTTTTTCGCTATTCGACCCGTGAGTATCAGATTCTCCAAGCCTTCCTTTCTCATGTGTCCAAGAAACTTCAGCTGCCTCTTCCTGATGTAAAGTATAAGCCTCCTCTTTGTTTGAAACCTCTCGGTTGAGGGGTTCTCCCCTTTTTTACACAAATGGACTCACCCAGGGTATACATATATTATTGCTAGTGAATACCCGGGAGAAGAACGAGAAAGATCGACGAACAAGCACGAACATAACGAGCAAGAGTCACAGTGAGCAAGCACGTAGACTCAGTAAGAGGTCATACAGTGATACGTCGATACCAAAGACTGTATATATATATATATTTTGCTACTAACCCGCATTCCTGGAACTACTAACCTGCATTACCAGTTTCTATTATTACATTAATACATTTACTTTCCTATATTTCTTATTGGCGTTTGTTATTTATTGGTACCGGATTTCATCCCGGGATCTACAACACTCTCTAAGACCTCATCGTTGCCCACACACCCGGTCCATGATATCCTTAGCATCCTTCTGTAGAACCACATCACCTTCGACTCGAGTCTCTTCTTCACCTTTGAGAAAATCGTCCAACTATTACATTTCCTTATTCAAGAAAATACTACATCCGCAAACCTAGGATCAGCTCCAAAATAAAAGCGATCCTAAGTTTAAAATGAATTTTCAAAAATTTAAAGTCTTTCCTGATGGTTTATTCCAAGCCAATAGATTAAATTTAACATTTCCAAGAAATATCATACTTTGGTACATTTCCAACCGAATGTATATTAACTAGAGTCTTTTTTTCTACTTATCAGCAAAATCTATAAATTCGTCGATATTGACAAATCTGTCAACACAACATAATTCTCTCCTTTTAAAATAAAATAGATTTTTCTAAAACTTTATTTGATTAACTGGTTTAAGTTTACTTATTTTGAAATAATACACATATTACATTTAGTTTAAAACATCGCATAAAAATCATTGTTTTAACACAGAGGTGGTGTTTATCTGACGTGTTGCGTGATTTATTTACAGACTGATGTTTGGAAAATTTAATTAAGGGGAACAAGACTGAAAAGATTACTTGATGAATACAACGTGAATTTTTTTTTGTATAATTTTTTAACTACATAGGAATCTTAAAAATTTAAGACAATATTCCAAGCAGTTTAATATTTATATAATTTTAGATACTTTGGCTTTATAGTCTTAATTTAAAAGACCCCTCTTGAGAATGTTATAAAATTACCTATAAATTTTAAATTTATTATGAGTACATAACTAATTTTCTGATAATTTGTTGTATGTAAGTTCGTATTTACAAAAAATCGACACGTTTATACACACGAACAAACACTCAAAATTCTTTTTAAAATACTGGGAATCGATGAAGTGTAGTGAGTTTTTTTCCATTTATAATGGTATTGTAGAGTATTTTTCACAGTGGAGGCTTGTATTTCGCTAAGTCGGTCCTAAAAGGGTCCGACGTACAAAACGTTAGGAACTTGAAATAAGAGTTAATGACGCAGCAATCTAGTTGTGATGGTTGATACTTCAATGTCCAACATCGACTGACTCACTCAACTCCACTGAGCCCAACTGGCGACCGCTACTACTACTACTACTACATATTATGTGTGGGAAAGTCTATTACAATAGAATAGGTAATGTTCTGGTATAACAAATGGTCAAATACTGTTTTAATGTAATAAGAATATCATTTGCTTACTAAAAATTAATATATAATTTTAAAATCAGGTAAACATATATAAATTATTTAATTAATTTTTTTGAAAATCAAACAACTCTTGAAAAACTCACTACTCATCGAAAAACATTTTTGTTAAGACAATATTTTTCCCGCAGTAGGTTGCCATTTTTTCTGCGGTAGACCAGTTTGCCATCCAAGACTATAGAAGCCGGTCTGTCCCACTATTTATCCATAGCGGGGGGAGAAGAATAGGATGCATAGCTTTCCCAAGGGTATTAGCACGTAAGTGAATATCAGTCAGTTATGTGCCATGCGTGATACACGCTTACGTGATCATGTATCTTTCTAGACATGACTGACGAGGCAGATTTTTTTCCCACAGTAGGTTGCTATTTTTTTCTGCGGTAGACCAGTTTGCCGTCCAAGGCTACAGAACCTGGTCTCTTCTGCTATTTACCCATAGCTGGGGGGAGAGAAAGAGAATTCATACCTTTCCTAAGGGTATTAGCACGTAAGTTATATTATTATATGATAGACCTAAATTTTATCATCGACTAATATTTTATCATAGACAAATTTCAAGTTTAGATCTTAAGCTAACATTTTCTTTTTAAAAAATTATGCCATACCTGCAGGCTTAACATTAAACTGTTTTTGCTTCTACCTGTTCAAACCTAACCAACGGATAAAAAAAAAAATTATCACACGTCTGAAACCTCGTTAGATTTCCCACTCGCTGTCTTTAATCCATTCAAAATGGCCGACGCCTCCTACCAAATCAACATGTCTGCTATGTTGTCAATAAACCACCAGCAACATCCATCCACATCCTACCACTTTCTCCCCCTCTCTTTTCGAGGGATTACAATTTCCATTATTGATGCAGTTCCCATTAACTTTACACTCGACTCCACCTACGATTCACCATTTGCCACATCAAAGTTGCTGAAGAACAAGCAAACACATTTGCTTGTATATTTTTCACTCGACACAACGAATATTCAGAGGTTGTTTTTTTTTGTTTTTTGTTTTTTTTTGGGGGGGAGTATTTTTTGCGTTAAGAACCAACGATTGTTAATCACAATGAATCGATTTCTGGTGTGAAGCTGAAGAGAACGTCTGAGAAAAGAAATTAAGTGCCAGGAATTGTAGCTTGCTTGGAGTCGAATGACACACAAATAAATACTGTTATCTGATTGGTCGTTATCACGAACATAGATCACAGTGGGATTCTAAGGTTTATTTCTTCCGATGGAGGGGGGGATTTTCATCTATATTTAACATAGCGTGGTAAGATATTAAGGTCCGTTTATTTTTGCATTCCCTGTAATATTTTCGTTAAAGCATTGTACAGTGGCCTAAGAAAAAAAATTATCCAGGAGAAATAAACTACATCCAATTTCAAAATTTAATTACGTAATACCTATTCAACATAAACAAACTACTTGGAACTAGTATAGAGTAGGTCCTCCATTTTCTAGTTTCAGTGCTTCTATTCGATTTTTCACGGATTTGATCAAGTTATCAACAATCGTCTGATTCATATTTTTCCGCTCCTTTAGCAATGTTTCTTTAAGGGTTACCACTGACGTGATTTTGGTTGTACGCTCTCGAAGTCTCCGGTTAAGGTGCTCTATTGGATCCAGGTCAGGACTTTGGGCTACCCATTGCAGGAACTTCATTCCTTGTGATTCCTTCCAGGCCTTTCCTACTTTTCTCGCATGACATGGCGCTCCATCTTGAAAATGGTAAACATTCTTGTCAACCTGATTGGTTTGAAATAGTGGGAGTAGTCCTTTCTCTAATATTTGATTTGATTTTGGACTATGACACCATTCATCAACAAGAATTAGTTCTGATTTCCCTCCAAACCAGAGAGCGCCCCACCCCATTACTCCAATTCCTCCATGTTTCACGGTCGCCTGCAGACATTCAGTGTTCGAAGTCTCATTCTGATTTCTCCAAACATAAACCTATCTCGAATTCGAATATTGGCAGAATTTACTTTCATCTAACCAAATTACAGACTGACAATATTCGTAATCTTTGCTCTCGAATTCTTTCGACCAGTCCATACGCCTGTTTCTGTTAACCTCTGAAATCAAGGACTTCTTTCTTGCAACTCTTCTTTGATAGCCTAGCTCTTTTAG